CCACAGAGCCTAGGTGGATTTTTCTAAAATCTCGTATAGCTACACAGGCAAAAACTGCAATAAAGCTAGTTTTTCTCTTGTTGTTTGTTTGCTTATTTCTTTATTTCTTGGCTAAGTATTATTATCCAATGACCTAAAAATTGAAAGGTACAAACAAAGAAACACTGAATTTGAAGTTATTGATGCTAGAATTATAAATTGTGATTTACTGTAGGTCAAACATATCTTAATCAAGTTCTGATTGTCATATTTTTTAAGATTAGTGTTAGTTCCTCAGTTTTCTCTGACTCTTTGTGACCCATGGCCTGTAGCTCTCCAGGCTCCTCTGTCCATGGAATTCTTTAGGCAAGAATACTGGAGTGAGTTGCCATTTGCTGCTCCAGGGAATCTTCCTGACCCAGGGATGGAACTCAAACGTAGGTCTCCTGCATTACAAGCAGGTTCTTTCCAGTCTGAGTCACCAGGGAAAGGCCACCACCCACCCCCTCCGTTTTTTTTAAAGATAGTTCTGTTTAGACTTTATAAACCTTGGAAATGATTCTAAAGAAGTTGAATGAGTTAATGGTTTGGAAAAAAATTTCAGAGTATGGATCATTTTAAACCTGAAACTTGTTCCCCTAATTTTTAAATAAGGCATTTTTTGAACTGTTTAATTCATTTTTTTTTTTTTTTTGGTCTGTCCAGCATGTTTTTTTTTTTTCCTCATTTATTTTTATTAGTTGGAAGCTAATTACTTTACAATATTGTAGTGGTTTTTGTCATACATTGACATGAATCAGCCATGGATTTACATGTATTCCCCATCCCGATCCCCACCAGATTCCTCTGGGTCTTCCCAGTACACCAGGCCCAAGCACTTGTCTCATACATCCAGCCTGGGCTGGTGATCTGTTTCACCCTAGATAATATACATGTTTCGATGCTGTTCTTTCTAAACATCCCACCCTCGCCTTCTCCCACAGAGTCAAAGATTCTATTCTGTACATCTGTGTCTCTTTTTCTGTTTTGCATATAGGGTTATCTGTTTTGCATATAGGGTTATCATTACCATCTTTCTAAATTCCATATATATGCGTTAGTATACTGTATTGGTCTTTATCTTTCTGGCTTACTTCACTCTGTATAATGGGCTCCAGTTTCATCCGTCTTATTGGAATTGATTCAACTGAATTCTTTTTAATGGCTGAGTAATATTCCATGGTGTATATGTACCACAGCTTCCTTATCTATTCGTCTGGGATGGACATCTAGGTTACTTCCATGTCCTGGCTACTATAAATAGTGCTGTGATGAACATTGGGGTGCACGTGTCTCTTTAACATCTGGTTTACTCAGTGTGTATGCCCAGAAGTGGGATTGCTGGGTCATATGGCAGTTCTATTTCCAGTTTTTTAAGAAATCTACACACTGTTCCCCATAGCAGCTGTACTAGTTTGCATTCCCGCCAACAGTGTAAGAGGGTTCCCTTTTCTCCACACCCTCTCCAGCATTTATTGCTTGTAGACTTTTGGAAAGCAGCCATCCTGATTGGCATGTAATGGTACCTCATTGTGGTTTGATTTGCATTTTTCTGATAATGAGTGATGTTGAGCCTCTTTTGATGTGTTTGTTAGCCATCTGTATGTCTTCTTTGGAGAAATGTCTGTTTAGTTCTTTGGCCCATTTTTTGATTGGGTCTTTTATTTTTCTGGAATTGAGCTGCAGGAGTTGCTTGTATATTTTTGAGATTAATCCTTTATCTGTTGCTTCATTTGCTAATATTTTCTCCCAATCTGAGGGCTGACTTTTCACCTTGCTTATAGTTTCCTTTGTTGTGCAAAAGCCTTTAAGTTTCATTAGGTCCCATTTGTTTATTTTTACTTTTCTTTCCAATATTCTGGGAGGTGGGTCATAGAGGATCCTGCTGTGATTTATGCTGGAGAGTGTTTTGCCTATGTTCTCCTCTAGGAGTTTTATAGTTTCTGGTCTTACATTTAGGTCTTTAATCCATTTTGAGTTTATTTTTGTGTATGGTGTTAGAAAGTGTTCTGATTTCATTCTTTTACAAGTGGTTGACCAGTTTTCCTAGCACCACTTGTTAAAGAGGTTGTCTTTTTTCCATTGTATATCCTTGCCTCCTTTGTTGAAAATAAGGTGTCCATAGGTTCATGGATTTATCTCTGGGCTTCCTATTCTGTTCCATTGATCTATATTTCTGTCTTTGTGCCATTACCATAATGTCTTGATGACTGTGGCTTTGTAGTATAGTCTGAAGTCAGGCAGGTTGATTCCTCCAGTTCCATTCTTCTTTCTCAAGATTACTTTGGCTACACTAGGTTTTTTGTATTTCCATACAAATTGTAAAATTATTTATTCTAGTTCTGTGAAAAATACCGTTGGTAGCTTGATAGGGATTGCATTGAATCTGTAGATTGCGTTGGGTAGTATAGTCATTTTGACAGTATTGATTCTTCCAATCCATGAACACGGTATATTTCTCCATCTATTTGTGTCCTCTTTGATTTCTTTCATCAGTGTTTTATAGTTTTCCATGTATAGGTCTTTTTTTCTTTAGGTAGATGTACTCCTAAGTATTTTATTCTTTTTGTTGCAATGGTGAATGGTATTGTTTCCTTAACTTCTCTTTCTGTTTTCTCATTGTTAGTGTATAGGAATGCAAAGGATTTCTGTGTGTTAATTTTGTATCCTGCAAGTTTACTATATTCATTGGTTAGCTCTAGTAATTTTCTGGTAGAGTCTTTATGGTTTTATATGTAGAGGATCATGTCATCTGCAGACAGCAAGAGTTTCACTTCTTCTTTTCCTATCTGGATTCCTTTTACTCTACACTTAAAGCAACTAGAGAAGGAAGAAATGAAGAACCCCACGGTTAGTCTAAGGAAAGAAATCTTAGAAATTAGGGCAGAAATAAATGCAAAAGAAACTAAAGAGACCGTAGCAAAAATCAACAAAGCTAAAAGCTGTTTTTTTTAAAAAATAAACAAAATTGACAAACTGTTAGCAAGACTCATTAAGAAACAAAGGGAGAAGAACCAAATTAACAAAATTAGAAATGAAAATGGAGAGATCACGACAGAAAACACTGAAATCTAAAGGATCATAAGAGAATACTACCAGCAGCTCTATGCCAATAAAATGGACAACTTGGAAGAAATGGACAAATTCTTAGGAAAGTATAACTTTCCAAAACTGAACCAGAAAGAAATAGAAGATCTTAACAGACCAATCAGAAGCAAGGAAATCAAAACTGTAATCAGAAATCTTCCAGGAAACAGAAGCCCAGGAGCAGATGGCTTCACAGCTGAATTCTACCAAAAATTTAGAGAAGAGCTAACACCTATCTTACTCAAACTCTTCCAGAAAACTGTAGAAGAAGGTAAACTTCCAAACTCATTCTATGAGGCCACCATCACCCTAATTCCAAAACCAGAAAAAGATGCCATAATTCATTTTTAAAAAAAAAATTCTGAACATTATTTTTGCTAGGTAATGATTTATTCTTTTCAAAAGTCCCTTTTAGCCCAGCAGGAGCAAATGCTTATCATCAATTTAATTTACTTCCTGTAATGTGAATATTAAAGAAGATGCACTGTTGGCAAAAACATTTGCAAAGAACTCTGCAGTTTGTTCTAAACGTGATGTCTAATTTTTGTTCTTGAAAAATGGCATCCCCTCATCTTAGGCACAATATATAGTTCTGCCTGTATTTTAATATGGCAATGGCTAATAGGAGAAATGTAGCATACATGCTAGACTTGCATAATATCACTGGGTCTTACAGAGAAAATTGTGTACTTTGGAGATTAAATAACTTCATAGAACACTATATCCTTTATTGTTTTTTTAAGGAAAAAGAAAACAAGATTTGGTACAGATATGATTGCAGGGTATTACTCAAGGTCAGGGAGAAAGATCAATTCTAAGCACATGCATGCATGCTGAGTCATTTCAGTTGTGTACCAGTCTTTGTGGGAGAAGGAAATGGCAACCCACTCCAGTACTCTTGCCTGGAAAATTCCATAGATAAAGGAGACTGGTAGGCTACAGTCCATGAGGTCACAAAGAGTTGGATATGCCTGAGGAACTTCACTTTCTTTCTTTCTATAGTCCCTTTTGGAGAAGGAAATGGCAACCCACTCCAGTGTTCTTGCTTGGAGAATTCAATGGAGAGAGGGGCTTGGTGGGATACTCTATGGGTTGCAAAGAGTCAGACACAATGAAGCAACTAACACACATGCACACACATAGCTCTTGGTGACCCTGTGGACTGCAGCCTTCCAGGTTTCTCTGCCCATGGGATTTTACAGGCAAGAGTACTGGAGGGTGTTGCCATGCCCTCCTCCAGGGGTTCTTCCCAGCCTAGGGATCGAACCCAGGTCTCCCACATGGCAGGCAGATTCTTTACCAGCTGAGACACAAGGAGCCCTAAATAAACAAAAAAATAGCATTCATACACATATGGGCATCTCATCTGTGAATAAACTCAAAGGTGTGTTCCTTACTGTATAATATTATAACATGCATTCAATTTTTTTAAACAAATCAAAGTTTCCATAATTATAATGGATACATAAATAAAATGTGAGTTCTTTATAAACTTATAAAAGTTTTACAGCAAACTAAATATGTGTGTCTTAACAGCCCATTACTCAAAACCATTTAAAACATTTCAGGTTGAATCAAAGAGAAATAGGCCACAAATTTTGAAATATGTTCAATTCTATTCTTATAAGTTGACAAGGTACAAGGTACAAAGGTTGTTGTTGTTCAGTCACCAAGTCATGTCCGACTCTTGTGAGCCCAAGGATTGCAGCATGTCCGGCTTCCCTGTCCTCCCCTATCTCCTGAACATTGCTCAAACTCATGTCTATTGAGTCAGGGATAAGTGAGTCAAAATGACTCACTCCAAGGTACCCTCTTCTTGACTGTTCTTCCACTTCCAACACTAAGTCCATCAGCTCACCTTTCTGCCAGCCTCTGATTTGGGACTTACAGTCCCACTAAGAAAATATTTTGGAGCTCACCAGTTTTCTGAGTGCTTCTTTCATATCCTTGTTCCTCAGACTATAGATCAAGGGGTTCAGCATGGGAATCACCACAGTGTGGAACACTGTGGCCACTTTGTCAGTGTCTATATTCTTTTTGTCAGTGTGGGGCCAGCAATAAATGAAAAGAATTGTTCCCTGTAAGACAATGATGGCAGTGAGGTGGGAGGCACAGGTGGAAAAGGCCTTGCACCTTCCTTCTGATGAGCGCATCCTCAGGATGGTGATGAGAATAAACAGGTGAGAGATAAGGATGATCACACTTGTGATGATATCATTGAAAGTGGCCACAATGTATAGCATCAATGGATTCACAGTGACATCAGAGCAAGCAAGACACAAGAGAGGGGGAAGATCACAAAAGAAGTAGTTGATCACATTTGATCTGTAGGATGGGATCTGGAGAGCTAAACACAAGTGAATCACAGAACATACAGTAGCACTGAGATAGCAAAAAGAGACCAACTCCATGCAGAGATTTCGGGACATGGTGACCATGTAGAGCGGTGGGTCACAGATGGCCACAAAGTGGTCATAGGCCATCACTGCCAGCAGAATGACCTGTTACCCTAAATGTGCAAAACAGGTAGAGTTGCACAGCACATCCCAGGAAGGAAATGCATTTGTCTTCATTTGCAATATTAGCTAGCATTTTGGCGTGATGGTCGTGGAGTAACAGAAATCCACAAAGGACAAGTGGCTGAGGAAAAAGTACATGGGGGTGTGGAGTCGAGAGCTGACCTGAATCAGGGCAATCATGCCCAGGTTTCCCAAAACTGTGGCTCCATAGATGGAAAGAAACAGCCGCAAGAGGAAGACTCTGAGCTTAGGGGCATCTGAGAATCCCAGGAGGGTGGAGTCCATCACAGCAGTGCAGTTTCCTCGTCCATTTCCTAATTTACTGGGTATGGAGTAAAATATTAATAGTTATTCTGCATTGGATCACTCCCAATTAGCTGCTAAAAAGGACATGAGAATAAATAAGATAGTCAACTTTTTCAGCAAAGAAATAAAACATTGACATTGTGAAGCCTAAGAAAAGTTCAGATATTGTAGCTCACAAATGCATAGAGCTCACATTTAAATTCACAGATCACATGAAATAACACACATCCATGAAAACCTGTATGTTTATTTAAACTAGTTCTACACAATATGCAGCTTGGAACTGAATCATTAGAAAGACATCAAGTGTTATTTAGTTAGCCATATTTTGAATTTAAATACTTTTTTTATTTGTAGACTTTTTAATCAGTTATTGAAATACTGGGATCTCTGGGGACTTTTCTTTTTTAATACTACACATGAAATTTCTTTCTTTCTTTTGATGAAATGGTGCAAAATATGCTTATTTAAGATTATTAACACACAAGCATCATGTTTTTATTATTACCCTTTAAATGGAGAAGTGAATTTTATACTCTATTTTAGCATGCTTTTTCTATACAATTAGCCTAGTGACTTTTAAATTATGGTATACAATGTTAGTCATTGTTCAGTAAATTGTTACTTAGGTCTAAACATTCTGAACTGTGACTCTGAAGCCTTCTAAAACCTATTTGACAAATGAACTCACTACTTTAAATCTATTCAAGAAATCAAATTCGTGAATATTAAATTAACACAAGTTCTTGTTGCCACATTGAACTATGATAGGAACTTAGAATGTCAAACAGCAGGGTAAAAGTTGCACTACATGTATATTATGGGAAACTGCAGCTCTCAGAAGAGCTTTCAATGACCTGAAAAATGACTAAGAAAATGGCAAGCTAAAAGTGGCAAGTTAAAAAAGAAAGCCAGATCACAAAGATAGAATATGGTATATCTATACATAAGTCATCAGAGAAGGCAATGGCACCCCACTCCAGTACTCTTGCCTGGAAAACCCCATGGACGGAGGAGCCTGGTAGGCTGCAGTCCATGGGGTCGTGAAGAGTCAGACATGACTGAGCGACTTCACCTTCACTTTTCACTTTTATGCAGTGGAGAAGGAAATGGCAACCCATTGCAGTGTTCTAGCCTGGAGAATCCCATGGATGGGGTTGCACAGAGTTGGACACGTCTGAAGTGACTTAGCAGTAGCAGCATACATAAGTCACAGTGCATATTTAATTCTCAAACCATCCAAGAAATGTAAATTTTTTTTACCAATATTTTATTCCAATTGCTTTAAAAGTACATTACTAAATTTGCCTACTTTTTTTTTAATAGAGGAGAGATACATTCAAAGACTTTGATATGTAGAAAATGCCAACAAAGGGTAAGAACATGCTTGTTTATTTGCTCTCCTGATCCTAACTAACAGTAAAATGACTTAGTAGGACCTACTGCTTATACCTGGAGGAAAGGGAATCTGGACTAAAAGTCAACACAACCAGATTTTTCCTCATTCTTCAAATAACTTGAAAGAGGTAAAGGATATGTGAATTAAGGAATCCTGGTTTGAATACAAATAATCATTCTGATGACATGCATTGCTCTCTTCAATGGTCAGTAATAAGTGAGTTATCTTTTGTGATTTTGAAGTAGTAAATAATTTTGAAAACCTTTTCCTGTTTTTTAAGCTCTGAAGATGAAAAGTTGACTGCTGACAACTTATGGTACAGGAGTGATATTGATCCCTGTTGGACATTTGTCAATGTCTGGAGATACAGCTGGCTGTCACAACAGGAAGGGTGCTCCTGACATCTAGAGGGCCAGCTACAGATGGTGCTAAACAGTGTGCAGGTACAGGACGGCATCTCCTTCCCTGCTCCCATCCTCCACATACACCCATAACATAAACAAAACCCAAAATATAATCTGGCCCCGAATGTTAATAGTATCACCTTTGAGAAAACTGTTGTAGAGATACACGGCCTTGGCACAGGGTCAACTACTGGCTCTCCTGTCTGCTTCAGAGGTGGTTTACATGCCTCTGCTCCTCCGTCTGCAGTCCTGAGGACCCCTCCCACCACTCCCAGCATCAGGGTGACTCTCAGGAGAATCTCCTTGCTGTCTTTCCCAGGTTTCTTGGATGGAGTTAATGTGAAAGAAGAAGAAGAGGGGAAGGGGAGAGGAATCAAGCATTTTTCCCAATTGGCGCTCACTCTTTCTCCTGTTACACTAAGAGCCATTAGAAGATATTTAATTCTACAGATTGAATTGCTCCCATTTCCTGTTGAGATCATTTTTCAGTAGGTAAAGGGAAAACACTTTCATAGAGTTTTCCAAACTTGGCATTTGTTAAAACACTCTCCAAATACAGACTTTAAAAAATTATTTCTAATGTAATTTCTCTCTTTTACAATTCCTCCTTCTCTGACACATGGCTAATAATAAATCACTCTCATGAGAAAAGAAACAAAGAAGTTTCCAGACATCAGGAAATATCATTCAGTCCATTCCTCCCAAAATATAGCCCAACCAACCTGTTGATCAGTATCACGTCCCGTGTTTCTGAGGATGCGATGGGGGAAAATGTCACAGCCTTTATGTTTTCATGTGTGTGCATCCAAGGGGCCCACAGCCCTTGATATGCCAGAACCAATCATTGATCTCTGTGGGATCTCAACCAAATATCAATGATCTCTGTGGGATTTCAACGAAATATCAAGAAAACAACATCGTCTTGGGGCTCAAACAATGAATGATGTAAAAAGAGGGGGAAACTCTCCCCCCTTTCAGAGTTTATGATAAATTACAGTGTTGTATGCTGCATTCAGACATTGCACTGTGAACTAGATAATGTTGCCATTATGGCATATGTGAATAAGTCTTATAAACTCTGCTGGTCTTATACTCGAAGTTCCTTTCTGGAGAACATAGGGCCTGAAGTCACAACAGCATCATACCAAATACCAGAAAGGGGTGGGAACAATGAACCTCCTTTGTTGAGAATAATAGCAACTGTTCACACTTACTCACCACTTTCTATGTGTTAGGTACTATTCTGAATACAACTATTAACACATTTCAAGTACAGTTATGCAGCTTTGTTAATGTGGCGACTGAGGCACAAGCATTTGTCACTTGTACAAAGTCACAGATGGAATCACTGATAGAATGAGCGTATATGTTGCATTTTGGTTTCTGCACCCATATGGCTCTGTGAAGAAGAGCAGAGCTAATGGACGGTGCTGGATGCAGACCCTACTCACTACAGAGACTGTTTATGGGTCTGCCTGCAGGGTCTCTCCCAGGTCTGCTGCTTCTCTGCCTGTGTAATCTTTTCCTAAACCGACTGGGTTCAAACGATATGATGTGGTTTGTGCTCCTGGATATACCAAACATTCACGAACTCCATGACTCTAAATAGTACCAAGTAAATTGGTTTCAAAATTCTCAACAGCTTTCGTGTGTTTCCCTAAAATTGATTCATGTGACAATATCCTGAGATCATGGAGTGTTTCTGCCTCTCCATTCCACCTAGTACTTTCACTATTCCTTTTCTTTCATTTTTCAAAAGTAAAGATTCCTGTTATCCATTCACATATTACTATGAGAATTACCCAAATTAGAAAAGTAATAGTAAACTTCCAAGATCTAAAACATAAGAACACTGTGAAATGTGTTCCATGAAGCCCGAAATTTGTTTGAATTAAGACATTTCAAGCCCATGGTATGACTTCTTGTTTCTCTCTAGATTATATAATTTTCTTTTCTCAGAAAATAGGGACATTGGACATGCATTTTAGCCAATACAGTGGTGTTTTGATATCATATATAGTAAATTTATGATGATATTTCATTAGCATCATTTTTTTTGTCATTGTTCTTAGTATACCCTGAAAACATTGCCACAAAATTCATCCCCCTGGAGAAAGTTTCAAGGCAGAAAGACTAAAAAGACAGCATCATTGGCAGTGATGTTTTATATTGTAGGAGGAAACAGACAGAACAGGCTGCATCTTGAAAGCAGGACTCCATCTTGGGCTGGACTGTAGACTTTGAGCTATATGCCCAGTATCTATTGAAACGACACACTGACTGGAAAACCAGCCCCCCGGAAGGAAGAGCCCCAGGGCTCGTACTTAGACTCTCCATTGCCTAAAAGAATACCCTAATTATCTGTGTTACTGAATAGAATCATACATTCTATTATGCTTATGGGGGTATGACCACAGGCCTATTGATAATTGTTCACTGTTAACTACCTAGGCTTAAGGCATATGAATCACGGGTTAACTATGATTGTATCTTTCTTTTCCTTTGTTCAGACTAGTTTCAGGGAATTTGGGCAGGTGGGTTTGTGCACATACACATTGGGTTTTCACAAAAACTGGTTGGGGTCCTTGGCTAAGAGGATAGTCTGCCTTGGGCCCGCCAGTGTAATAAACTGCACTTCACTATCTGCACTGTCCTTCTGAGTGAGTTTGTTTCCTGGAACGCATGGCTACAACATTATCATCTATGCAACCCACTCATTGAAAACTGCTTTGCATATTTATCTTAAAGACAAAGCAGATACTTTTCTTAAAATTGATTTAAATATAGATATTTAATTGACATTTATTTTATAGGCATTACTTATAAATTAAGTACTACAAATGCTAAGATCTAAT